TGTGTGTGTGTGTGTGTGTATATATATATATATATATAGGGAGTATATCAAGTGAGAGGGAATTTATTATGGGAGATGAGAGAGTTAAAATATAACCCTTAGATTAATCAAATGAAAGGAAATTAATCTAAGAGTTATATTTTAACTCTCTTATCTCTCATAATAAATTTTCTCTCACTTGATATGAATTAATGAAATAGGTTACCAAATAATTTTTTGAAAAAATTATAAACTTGATTTATGCATTAAGAACTTTTAATTCAATATTTGGATTATTGAAATTTGATATAGAACATAAATTATTGAGTGAAGTAAATTTAAGTAGATTTACTCTTACAGTAAATAAATCCCTCCTCTACTTATATATAGAAAGACTAAGATGGAACACTTTAAACTTATTAAAAGATGAAACATATAAATTATTGGGGGAAAAAAAGGTAATTAAATCTTGAAAATAAGTTGGTCTTGTAATGGAAGGATTTGGATGAACTTACGGAAAGAACAGTTGGGCCAACATGACAGGTGAGGTCTTGTTTAACAGGCCCAGCACTGCGGAACTCGTTACTGGGCGTTATGATCCAGAAACCCTCAGGTGCAAAATGATCTTGGGTAATCCAGCCATGAACACGGTCATCTTTGATCTCACTAGAGTATTGGTATTTGTCATCCACCTAAGCCCAATAATATAACGGGTCCATCTCATAAACATCATAAACGAATAAATTGGTAAAAATCCATGACAATTGAAACAGCAGGCATAGGTTACCTCTCCCTTAAATTTTGAGTCGTTTGGATTGGTTAAGAGAACAGCTTCAGGGTACGCCAAGGTTCTACCCTGTTTTCTATCTGTAAGAGATGGCATGTTCCTTTGCCTAGTATCGGATATAGCCATATAGGAAAACCTGGATCATTGGTTGTTAATTTATTAATTAAGCATAGTTCTTTTTTTCTTCCACTTTCAAAATGACAACCTCAAAATAATTTTTCTTATCAGAATGCATCTACTCCAACCCGACATCTAATTTCCAAACTAAAAATGTGCTTTAATTTTATTTTTTTTTAATTTTATAATATAACAGCTTAAAAAGTTATATTTTAATGGTATGTTTATTCGTTGTTAATAATAATAATAATAATAATAATAAATATTACAATAATGACGAATTAAAATCAAACACGTATTTTAGGTAATCTAAACATATTTGATCTTAACTCATGATGTATAAAGTTGCATAAAAAAATGCACTGATTATATAATCAAATAAAAAATTCTTAAAACATTATATTACTCTTTTTATAAAAATAATAAAACAGGAAAATGAGAAAAACAGATAATACATTTATTAACAATATACATAATTTTACATTATTATCTTCTCTCTACCTATCCACTATTGTACCGTTAAACAAACACAAGCTAACCTTTTACACAATACTATTATTTTTTTGTCACTATAGGGGAATTATCAATATATTATTAAATTTTATTCAAAATTAATATTAAAATTATATGTAACTATATATCAAATAAATATATACTTATATATATTATATTTATAGTGACATTTTTTTTATGTTACATTTGTTGAAGTGGTGTCTCACAATTTTTTTTCACAAACTCACTATCATTTAATTTTTATTATCTCTTTTAGTTTATAAAAAAATAATTTTTTTTCCTGGTATATATAAAACTCTCATTGGAAGTGTTCCCTGTGTGCTAGATGTATTGTGTAAATTGCTAATATATTTTAAATAAAAAATAGTACAAATTTGCGTGTGAGATGTTTTTTTAAAAAAGCTTACATAAGCTTTTTAAATTACCACATGACATCAAATATTTATTATTCATGTATGATGCTTGTAACTTGCTAATATATTCAACTAAAAATAGAACAAATTAATGTGTGATTTTTTTAAAAGTCAAATAATTAAGTTTTTTTTTAAGTAATCACATAATATTAAATCTTTAATCTTTATCATTTATGTATAGTTTTATCATCCATATTTACTCATTTTACTTTCATAAAGTTGTCCATATGCCTCTCTTTCTATATATAATTTAGCAATGATATAAAGTAGCACATAACATATTAATTGTTAAAAAAAAAAAAAAAAAGAGTAAAGAAATAACTTTCCTTTCTTCTGATTGGAGATACTTACGCCATTTACATGAATGTAATATAATCTAAATTTCATTACTTATCGTATGCTATATACACTATATTAGGAAAGTATTTGTCAGGCCATTTCATTATTAATTCATTCAAATAATTGTTTCCTATTATTGCATAAGTACAAACATTTTTTTTTTTTCAAATTGAGACAAAGGAAAAATATTTCTTTTTCTCTTTATTTTTCTCAGAGTAACATTTTTCCAGTTACCTGTTAACCGCGAGTTTGTAAACATTTCTAATTTGATAAACCTCCACTGCAGGTAATCCTTGTGGTCTGTCAAATATTACATATGAATAAAACCCAGATTCACCTCTTCGCATTATATACCTGCGCCAAAATAAATAAATTTATGTCAAGCCATGTCAATGAGCTAATTTTGTATTTGTTTTAAACTGGACAAAATATTAAGGTTTGGAATCCACCTTTGGTCTATGTTTATGGGGACACATGAGCCTTTCATTGAAGTTTGCCATGTTCTTAAAAATGAAACCTCCACTATGCTCTCGTTTGCTACTATGACCGAGAAATTAGTCCCACTAATTCTGCAGTATGGTTTCAATCGTAAATTTGTCTCTTGAATATCCCTCAGTGTATAAAGCATGCAATGCTATATTATTTGGTGTTGTTATCTAACAAAGGAGAAGTGGGGTATCGACTAAGAACTGATGAAATGCACGTGAGATTATATATACAAGAATCTAAGCATGTTAGCAATACTCTGTCTTTCTAATCAGTCTCTCCTATTGATAAATTTTATTGAAAAAATTTGAGGGTGACACCAATATATAATTTTATGATTTTTAATAAGCTTTAACAAGTAACATAGTATATTAGTAACAGCTTGTTAGAAAGTGCAACATTTTTTTTTCTCTCTTATCTCTACTTCCGTTTCTTTCTCTTTAATAATTGTTTAAAGTTTTTTATACACACACACAAAAAAAATTCTCGTAAAATAATTTGAAAGTTTCTTATTACTTTCATTTTTATTTTTACTTCACAACAAATGCATATTAATGTTAAATGTGTAACTTAATTAAAATTAGTTAGATTATTGTCAAAGAAATTAAAATTTGCTAGATAGAAAGTAAAAATATAATTAATATAGTCTTGAACTATAAAAATGATAAATATATAAATAAAATAAAATAAAAATCTTCTAATAAAACCAAAAATAAAAAAGGAACGGGAATTGGGTAGTATTATTTTCATCGTTAAATAGATACTGGAGCATACAGTTAATTCCTTGAGAAGACACAAATTAGTATGTAGAGAAACGGAGATAGCTAGCTAGTATATGCAGTACACCTCATTTTGCAGTGAAAAGAAAAAAGGAGATCAGAAAAAGAAAAATAAATAAATAAAAGTAAAATTAACAAAGGATGAAATAATAATAATAAAAAGATAGAGATGTATAGGACGAAAAATTGAGTGTATATTAATAATAATTTACCTGTCGAACTTTCCAGATTTTCCTGGATCGTCCCAAACAACGTCAAAATACCTAAATATGAGGGCAAGATTTTGTTAATCAACGGGGACATAATTATGGGGATCCAATTTCATGTCATCAATACTGGATTATTTTGAAGAAAATCCTAACTTCAATGTAAAATTCATGTACAAGTAAAAATATTTAAATTCACTCAATATTTTAAAAAAAATTAGTTGAATTTATTAATTTTATATAAAAATTAAAATTTATTTTATATTGAAAATAATAATCACATTTAACTTAAAAAAATATTTTTAAAATGATAACATTAAATAAGATTAAATTAGGTAGAATTCATTTATATTTAAGTTGAAATAGTTTAGATATTTTTACTTATGAAATGTACGTAAGTGTACCCTCTATGGTCTGTATGAATTCCAGTGTCAAGTACATTGTTAATTCCAGTAAATATTCCAGTGATATAGCCCTCGGGCTTTGCCACATTGAGGGAAACATAGTCGTTAGTAATTACCACCTGAAAATCAAGACGAGATTTAAAAGTTAAAAGTAAAACTCAAGTATTTGCCAAGAAAACCAGGCCAATGAATGGTTATTGCATTTTATTTATATTCTTTGAACGCATTCTATCATATTCTAAAAATAAGTGGTATTACCTCGTGAGAATCTTGGGTATTCAGCTTCACTGGAGGAGGAAGAGGAGGCGTCGAAACTCTTCTGGAAGTGGAAGCATTGCAGGGAAATAAGAGGTTAAAAATAAAATAAGTTCAAGGTGTAACGTTGCCACTTCAATGGGACATTCAAAAAAAAAAAAGGATACTACAGCTTGAGATTGGATTAATGCATAGCTGAGCAATATTTCCGTACAAATTTTTGTTAGAAAGAAAAGATGTGATGTAATAAAGAAAAATAAATTTACAATTAAGTTGATATAAATGATAGTGCATATGGGACAATAAACAAAGATGTACATAACAATATAATTTGATGTAGTATTTAGTTTTAGCAAACCGTTCATTTTGTTCTTTTCCTAGTTATAGTGTAGTGCTTAATTCCTCTTTTGAAAAAAGCCTGTTTTTTTTTATAAAAAAAATCCGGGTTTAGTACGTTAATTATTTATTAGAATTGGAATCAATTACAATTGCCATCATCATTTGATTGAAAAAGAAAATGAATAGAGATACAGAAAAGATTTAGCTGATTGGTTGCAACTTCAAAAGGGGAAAGAAATGGGAAAGATGAAACTCACCTAAAAAAGTTTCCATCCCTTTCTTGTTTGGAAAATTCAAATGGAGATATGACTTTTTTTTTTGGTTAAAAACAATGTCCTTGAGTTATTTATCTTCATTTTAAAATAAGAAAAATAATAATCATGTTTATAATTTACTTTTGATTCAATTAAATAAATAGAGAGAATATTTTATTTAATCTTTTTGCTCTATTTTTAGTCAAACAAAAAAATGTATAAAATTAACTCTCTCTTTTCATTTTTAATATAATATTATATTATATATCACATCCTTCTACGCTTTTTAATATTATACTATATATCTTATTTTTCAGTATAAAAAGTAGAAGGAATAGATATTTAGAAAGAAATTTAAAAAGAGAGTGAAAGATGTGATGTATAATATAATGTTAAAAGACAGATAAAAAAAAATAAGGCAAAAGACAAGTAAAGATAAATATATTAATATAATGATGTTTAATTTTATATGCAGCTAGGAAATATATATAAATAGAAAACTTCAATTTTGGGTGCATGGAATTTAATTAAATTATTGTTGTGTTTTGAAAGGGAGATTTCAGATTGGGTTGATGTTTCTTTTTATTAGCAAATAGGTGTTCATAAAATTGAAAATGAAAGATGAGCCATAGCATAAGGAATGCCATAACACCTCACCAAAGATCTTTTACAGAACGTGCTCACTACCTAATGCCATAGCACAAGGGAGAATGGTTGTGACTGAAGTAGACCATCAGCCTATATTATTTGATGCGGAGTCTATTACATCATGTACAATAATGCAATTTTTGTATATATATATACAAAAATTTACCTAGATAGAATGTCTCTCTTTTGAATGCATTTTCTCATCTGTTGTTCTCGTTTTTGTTTACTCAAGAATCACGCAAAGATAATTATGCATAGAACAAAGGCAACATTGCTATGTAACTAACAAACAGAGAATCAAGAGAGTAGGGCGGGAGAACCTAAATGACCTCTCAGAACAGGCACTGAGTATGATTATGCTGAACTGCACAGCCATTCCAAACCATTTGAATGAAACTTGTTTCTGACTTGCCACCTTCATCTTTCACCAATATAAACCTGCAAATTATAACTTGAACTTCATTTCAGGTGACAAATTAAGGAGCAGAAGAATGTGGCAAAGAAGGCCAAAATGAACTTTGATAATGCTGTTAGTGGTAAAAACATAAGAGCACTGCACTGTCACGTATATACATACTACTACCGTGTGGCTAACAAACTAGACGAAATTAACAAAAGGATAAACCTAAGTCTTTCCGAAAAAACTTAACATACTACAAATTCTGAAAGACACGTACGTACAAAACCTTAACATTCACCGATGTCTTTCGGACAAATACCCTTAATAGTGTTTCAAAAAACCATATGTAGGAGATGAACACCTATTTTTTCTTTTGAATTGTGTCTCTCTCTATATATAAGATCTCTTTGAAACCTTATTAAGAACCTTAGAAAATGTGTTGCAAGTGAATGCATGTATATAGGCACTGCTAAATGAAAAGCTTTAGCTTCTCTTTGATGTTACCACTTTCTCCGACTGCTTTAATTTATACGTTTCTTATTCCGTTTTTCTGGCGCTGCCCCTCAATTTTCTTAATTTCACACGACAGCAGTGTTCCCTAACGTTGAACTGAGTTCTACCTGAAGGAAGGGTATAGTTGTCTTTAAAGAAAGAATTATGAGGATGAATTTGGCAAAGGTTTGTATCATATGATCGAATCAATTATGAAGGTAACGTTGAACCTAGCATTTTGAAAAATTAACAAGTATTATTAAAATATTTAAAATTATAAGAAAAAGGTGTGAAAAAACGCATATCATCATGAAAAAGGTATGATAAGATATGTCTTTATTAATGAGATACATTGTCAAATCATTCGAAATTTCAGTTGCATGTTTATATTATAAGGCAGAAACGGGATACCATTTTAAGGGAACGAATACCAAAAATTTCATTTTTTTTTTATTAAGGGAGGCCATAATTTTTTTTATATATAGAAATTTTTAAAGGAGCTCCAAGCTTTTGGAGGGACTGCAGCATCCCCGGTTTCCATAGTTCCGCCCCTGCTAATTATATTTAAGTTTTAGGATAACAATCTTTTAAAATATCCCAAAAAAATCTTTACAACATTTATAAATCGATTAAATTAAATATCTATATTTAAATTATATTATTTAATATTTTTTTAATGATGATATTCGTACAAAATATGCACTATTAAAAATAATGATTAATTTTTGTTATAAATTTTAAGAATATATATAATTTATCTCATACATAAGATCATGATTTAAATCATGAATAATTTGATTAAGAAATACGAGTTTTTGTTAATTGGATGTGTATTTTTTTTAAAAAATCATATATATATATATATATAACCAAAATATTTGAAGAAAAAATTAATTTATTACATTTTTTCATCCTACAAACGTTTAAAAATAGGGTAAAGCTTCTCGATCAGGTAAAAGAAAAAAAAGGTGAGAGAGGAAGGGAGAAACTAAGCAATCATTGATAACCACTTAGATAATGAAAATAGATCACTTACAAACGAACAAAGATCTGAAGAATGGTTACAAAACTGCTCAAGATGATCTATTATATTCTTATTACAGTGAGGGTTAATTTGAAGAGGACTAAACGATAAAATATGCTCCGAGGACTGCGCTACTGGAAAGTGCATATACAAAATGTATGATTAATTAAAAAATGGCCTTCTTTATTTTTATTTTGGTGCATTGTAAAGAATCATCTAAATAGCAGGAAGAAAAGAAAGAAACAGTGAGATAAAAAAATGCTTTACGTACCTCCTGTGCCTCTTAGGAGGATTTATTGAGCACGGTTTGGAATCTAGCGTGACAAGAAGAAGTTCATATATGTCTTTCGTAAAATTGAGACTCCTGTGTATATATAGGCATTATTCAACTAATTTTGTTTTTATTCAACTAATTAATGCAGAATATTAATTATGGTCAAATAATTTATTCAAATATTAACAAAATTTTAGTAAAATCATGATACTTTCTTCTGCAAATACAAATTATTAATTTTAAGATAGGAAACAAAAGAAGTTCGTTCTTGAAACAAAATTCAAATATTAACTGAATCTTAATGCATGAATATATATATATTAAAATTCCAAATGATCGAAAAAATTCGTGCAAGTTGAAACTAATGCTGAATATTAATTATAGTCAAATAATTTCATTCAAATATTAACTGATTTAGTAAAATTATGGTTTAGTTTCTTCTGTAAACACAAATTATTATTATTTTGTATTTATCAAAAAAAATTAAGATAGAAGACGAGAAGAAATTCGAGTGCTTTTCATAAAATTATATATATATAT